CGAGATACTAACTCGTTATAACGAGATACTAACTCGTTATAACGAGATACTAACTCGTTATAACGAGATAACTAACTCGTTATAACGAGATAATTATCTCGTTATAACGAGATAACTAACTCGTTATAACGAGATAGTTATCTCGTTATAACGAGATACTAACTCGTTATAACGAGATACTAACTCGTTATTACGAGATAATTATCTCGTTATAACGAGTTAAATATTTTTTTTTGTCTTGTCAAAAATGAGCCTATCCGGCTTTCGTATTTATCGAGTAATTACGACTTTTTATTTTTTTTTTTCATTTTGAATTTTTTCCTTATCTCATCCTTTTAGTAACGTAAGCATAGAAGTACGGAAACGTATAATGGTCTCGAGTTGTTGAGTTGGAACGCGATATTTTTTTTTATTATAATATTGTCCAAAACGGTTGCTTCAAAGTTTGCAGATTTATCTGTGACAACAATCTCTAATGAAAGACACTTTTTTGACGTGTTTTGGACGACTTACAAACTTTAATTTATCAAAGTGGAATTCATCAATGACGAACTTAGATAATTCATATAAATTATACCGCTAAATATTGAATGTCGCAGACATTACTGCTACGCATTGCAGACATTATTTCAACATATTATATATGACACATAGGCGTCGGATGCAAATTTGAAACCGGGAGAGGGGGGCTAAACCAACCAACCAAACAAAAAAAAAACCTTTGGAGGCTAGGCCCCAATGTCTAAATTATGTTTATCTGTGCAAAAAAAGGGGGGGCTAAGCCCCTCCCGTTTTCGAAGTTTATGTGACCACTTCATATAGGCAACTAATCTAAATCAAAGAAAATTAAGTCATCCAAATTTGAACTACTTGTAATACTCATTTAAGCAAAGATGACATAGATTTGTCAATATACTATAAAGTATTGAATCGTTTGATTTGCAGTTCATTTTTTAATTGCCTCACAGTTGATACGAGTGGTATGCATAAAAAGAGAGGTCAATTTCGGCTATGATTATTTTTTTCAATACAGTTAAATTGTTGTTCAAACTTAGGATGACAAACGTACGTTAACAGACAAGAACTGTCAAAAAATCGACGTGAAAGCGTAATAAATGGAACCCTATTATTTATTCTCATTATATAAAACTGGTAGAATATTGCTACACATTTTATTAATTGCAACAACATTGATATTACGCAAAAATATATTATACTTTGGTTGAAGTCAACAGGGCATTTAAATCATCAAACAATTATCGTAATTTTCTGGTCTCATTGTACATCTTGACAAAATCATGACGCTATATATATTTTATTGGAAGATCACACTGATTTTATTTTGTCATTTTGAGGTAAAACACAACGACACGAGACGGTTATACGTTTCCGTAATATGGAAAGGTCAAATTAGGAAAACAAAAAAAAGTCGTAATAACGAGATAAAAAGTCGTTATTACGACTTAAGAAAGTCGTAATAACGAGATAAAAAGTCGTTATTACGACTTAAGAGAGTCGTAATTACGAGATAAAAAGTCGTAATAACGAGAAAAAAGTCGTTATTACGACTTAAGAAAGTTGGTATTACGACATAAGAAAGTCGTAATAACGAGATAAAAAGTCGTTATTACGACTTAAGAGAGTCGTAATTACAAGATAAAAAGTCGTAATAACGAGATAAAAAGTCGTTATTACGACTTTCCTAAGTTGTAATAACGAGATAAAAAGTCGTTATTATACGAGAAAAAAGTCGTTATTACGACTTTCCTAAGTCGTATCAAGTCGTAATAACGAGATAAAAAAAATATTACGACTTAATAAGTCGTAATAACGAGATTAAAAGTCGTAATTACGAGATAAAAAGTCGTTATGACGACTTTTTTTATTTTGTTCATTTTTCTTATTTGACCCTTCTAGGCTTTCGTGGGGTCGTGTCGTTATCATTGCAGACTAATAATATTGCATAGGGCTTTTTAAAACTGCATCAAGTTATCAGTCATCTCGAGATAAATCAATGCTAGGGGGATTTCTACGGAAGTCCATTTGGGACCTATCAAAAATATTTTTGAATGCGATATAACGAATTGTCGAATTTGTTATAACGAATTTAATTCGTTATCACAGTTTCTTTGAATTCTACATAATGAATTTAATCTGTTATAAGAAATTTGTTGAATTCGTCATAACAAATTCAAAAATTTGTTATAACGAAATAAATTCGTTAAAATGAATTCTGAAACTTGTTATAACGATGTAAATTCGTTAAAACGAATAGTCTAATTTGTTATAAAGATTTAAATTTGTTAAAACGAATTCGTCAAATCGTTATATCAAATTCATACATATTTTTCTATAGGCCCTGATTGTTGAATTTGATTTAACGAATTTAATTCGTTATAACAATTTTTTGAATTCGTTATAACGAATTTTAATTTGTTATAACAAATTTTAGAATTCGTTATAACGAATTTAATTTGTTATAACAATTTTTGGAATTCGTTATAACGAAATCAACAAAATTGTTATAACAGATTAAAATCGTTATAAAGAATTCAAAGAAATAGTAATAACGAATTAAATTCGTTATAACAAATTCTACAATTCGTTATATCGAATTCAAAAATATTTTTGATAGGTCCTAAATGGGCTTCCGTAGATTTCTCTTCTGAACTCTACAAGGAAACCACAGGCACCTGGGGTCTCACCCCCCCCCCCCCCTTTTCCACATCAACAAAATTTACCCTAGATGCGGTTGATTTAATCGAAATATTTCCAAATCAGGGGCACATAAAAATTAAATGGAAATATGAAAAGGAAGAAGAATGTGTAACAAATTTATTGATGTATGCATATTCCATGTGTTCTTATGCTTTAGATAAATAATCAGGCGAAGTTTAAGCGAGGTGAGGCAGACGACGAGAAAAGAGTTGCAAGCCTTCTCTCTTTTTATGTATCAGTCGAAAAACGGTATATTTAAAAACAGTATATAGAGACAAAAGAGTTACATTATTGATAACATAGAGTGCATATTAGAATACAAAAATAGGAAAAAGGTGTCTCGACCTCATATTTAAAAAGAAAAAAATGGAAAGGGGGGGGGGGGTCCAGACCCCAAGTGCCTGTGAAGGAAACTTGCGAGTAAGCAAAAAATACTGTAAAAGAAAAATTCTCTTATAATGTACATGCATGTATAAAGCGTTCTTTTAACAATCCACCATGATCGTGTGAAACACTGAATATTGTTTCCACAGCTTGATTTTTATTAACCCCCCCCCACAACTCATCCTCTCTCTCTCTCTCACACATGTGTTTGAGAAACACTGATGACCACGTATGGCAGCTTTTTCAAAAGGGTGGTGAACAAGGTAAAAAAATTTTGGTACACAAAGAAAATTTTAAACACCAGTGAAATATGAAAGCCTTAGCACAAACCGTTCAAAAGTGTTGGAAAAGTTTTAAGTTTTACGAGGGTAGGTCAAAGTTCAATGTCAAGGTAAAAATTTGAAATGGTCGTTCCCAAAGAAATTATATCTTGTCACAAGGAATACAAATGTGTGATATGAGAGCCCTAGCATTAACCATTTAGAAGTTACGGCAAAATTTGTTGTTGTTTTTTTCGAGAGTACGTCAAAATTCGAGGCCAAGGTCATGAAGGCAAAAACGTTGTGAAAGGAAAGGATTGTCACAAGAAATACACATATGAAATATGAAAGCCTTTGCACTAACCGTTTGGAAGTTATGACCAAGGTTATGGTTGTATCAAAGGGAGGTCAAACTCCAAGGTCAAGGTAATGATGTAAAAAATCTATAGTTATCCAACAGAAGGTCTTGTTACAAGAAATAAACATGTGAAAAATGAAAGCACTAGCAATAACCGTTCAGAAATTATGTCCAAATTTAAAGTTTTTTCATAAGTAGGTAACTACGAAGTAAAAAAATGTTGGTACCCAAACAAAGGTTTTGTCATAAGAAATGCACATGTGAAAAGACCTAGTACTAAACATTCAAAAGTTGTAGCCAAGGTTAAAAAGTTTTTTGCGGACAAATGTACTGCTAGACAGACCAAAAACTATATGCCCCTGAATCTTTGATTTAAAGAAATAAACTTTTCGCGGACAAACGTACTGCTAGACAGACCAAAAACTATATGCCCCTGAATCTTTGATTTAAAGAAATACACTGTAATAAAAATAACGAATTCTCTTCACGACACTTTTTTTTAGATTTCTAGGTTAGGCTGATCGTTGCTATTCATAATATGTTTGTTCCCCGCATTTGCGCATTTGTCGATCTGTCCGTCTGTTTGTCAATCCGTCTATACCACAGTCACAAAAAAAAACTTTATCCTTTGCCATCACTTTTGAACAAATAGTTCTGGAAAGTTATTTCACTTGCATCCAACTTCTACTCAGGTGACCATAACATTCAGGCACATAGAATCCGGGGTGATCGAGGGTGGGAGTGAGGGATGCCGGCCTGCCCCTCCCCCACCCTTTTTTTATTGAACGGAAATTTTTACTCTGAATTTAGTATAAAAGGTTCATTGAAAGGCTGGTCCCGCTGTTAATTGGCCTTGACAGTTGATATTCCCATTCCCCCCAAAATAAAAGTTGGAGTTGGGAGAATTATCCTATTTTGGGTAATTAATTTTTTTTCTTTACTTATATTTGAATCATATACTAAAAGAATTATAGCTGGGGAGGGGGGGGGGTTCAATCAAGGTAAACATTGTACTTTCATCGTATTGCCTGGAAAAAAGCAATAATTGTATAACGTTTTCACTATACTAGTATATCATTTTTCTAGTCTCAATTACCCAAGTATTTCAAACAAAATATGTTATAAATATGAATTCCCATGGCTGTTTGTTTTTCCTTTTTTACTGTAATTCTATTCAAGTCCTCATCCACTTGAGCATCGGCGCCGATGCGCCCCGCCCAGGCTGTCAATCAAAATAGCAGCATCACATAATCGAGATTATGGCAACAATAAATGGGATACACCCAGAACACTTTTTTAAAAATATCTTTAAAACAAAATATAGAAATCCACTAATGTAGATCATTCGGGAATGTGCTGTTATGAAGAGCAAGAGATACCATCCCCTGCAAATAATAGCTAAACGATTGTACAAGGTAAGTGATTAGTGCGCGATATATACTAACGAGGCTGTTACATTTCCTCTATACTCATAATGAGTAGATAACGCACTCAGCATCGCACTTTCAACAGGGCTTGGATCTCAAAATCAGGTAATATCTTACACTGTGTATTGGAGGGTTGAAATTTTTTAAGGAAAATCTTTCAAAATTCATGCATTGTGTTCTAGTTTTAACTCTTGGAATACTCTCTTATTTCTCTCTCTCTCTCTCAAATACCTTATTTTTGTAAAGTTTAAAAAAAAAAAACCCACCCAAACATCTGTATTGTAAAATGTTCAAAGTTCAGACCAATCACGCAGGCAATTAGCCATCTGTTTAAGTTTCTTTTTTTTCATTTTAAAGTTGATTTTATTGTAGATAAAAAGAATTATTAAAAAAAAATATATTATTCAAATACAACAGGTAAAAGTACAGGAATGCTAAATATTGTTCCAGATACCAGAATATAATGTATCTGGGAGGGTCTTTTTATTTATCAAAATTATTTTATGTTTTATTTACAAATGTTGTCGCATTACAATAGCCATGTGTTTTAATGGAACTTAACATCCTTTGTCTGTGAAAGGATGGAGCGTTTTTATACGATGGGTGTCACCGAGTTTAACTCGAAATAGTCATCATCAACTCTTCAGACTTTAGTATTTACAAGTGATGACTGCAGCGGTTCATTTGTGAAAACCTGCTATTTTTAGAGTAAAAATTAAAATTTCTTTGTACGTACTTACTATACCTTATCAGTTTTAACATAATATGATTGGTATTTTATTTTAAGATCATGGTAACTTGATCCCCTTCAGTAATGACGTTATCGCAAGTGCTGTCGCGTTATCGCAAGGGACACAGAACAGAATGGCTAAGGGTCTCTGGCGTGGCCACAAAGCGATACACTTTAATTGTTCATTGTACTAATATAAAAACAAGAGGCCCAGGGGCCACATCACTCACCTGAGCACTAGGGCTGTCACGGTTCCAAAATTTTTCGGGTCGGGTCGGTTCTGTAAATTTTCGGTTCGGTTTCGGGTTTTTCGGGTCGGGTATTTACATCTATTTTAAACCTTAATTTCATGAATTTAACTTGAAAAATCTTTTAAATTATTTGTTACATTAAATTTACATTGGAAACAAGTCTTAACCATGCGAACGTCTAGACATCGGTGACTTGGTCTACTATTACCCACAACCTGACCATTCCTGCTCGTTTTGATAATTATCTAATACTTCCGTGACAAGTGTTTTGTCATGGAATGAAGTAGATTTCAGTTGTGATGTTTATTTATCACTGTTATCGTCGTCATTCCTTTGATTTCGACGCCATTTTTTGTATTGAACAGACTCTAATATATAAACCAGACCCGAACCGAAATCCGGAAAAATGGAACCGGAACCGAACCGAACAACTTGGACCGCGGTTCTCGGTTATTTCGGGTACTCGTGACAGCCCTACTGAGCACTGTGGCCAGGAAAAAAGGAAAAATCAGTTTAGTATTGAAAAGCTTAAATACATAAATGGTCCAACCTACCCCTAAAAGGGAGTTGGGGGGGTATGACTTGAACAAAAGTAAATCTACACTGCTTACATAATTTTTTGACTAACTGTGACTTTTTTCTCTACAAGTTTGAACTTTCATTGTGGCCCCACCCTACCCCTGGAGGTCATGATTTGAACAAATTTGAATCTACACTATGTGAGGATGCTTCCATATAAATATTACAACCCGTGGCTTTGCTGTTCTTGAGATTTTTAAAGGTTTTTCCTATATATTCCTATATAAAACTTTGAACGTTCATTGTGGCCCCACCCTACCCCCAGGGGTCATGATTTGAACAAACTTGAATCTACACTACCTGAGGATGCTTTCAAAAAAATATATCCAATCAAAGCTTTGCTGTTCTTGAGAAGAAGATTTTTGAAGATTGTTCCTATGTACACCTATGTTAAACTTTGATCATCCATTGTGGCCCCACCCTTACCCTGGGGGTCATGATTTGAACAAACTTGAATCTACACCACCTGAGGATGCTTCCAATATAAATATGACCAATCATAGCTATGCTGTTCTTGAGAAGAAGATTTTTCCTATATATTCCTATGTAAAACTTTGATCGTCCATTGTGGCCCCACCCTACCACTGGGGGTCATGACTTGAATAAACTTGAATCTATACCACCTCAGGATGCTTCCAAATAAATATGACAAATCATAGTTTTGCTGTTCTTGAGAAGAAGATTTTTGAAGATTTTTCCTATATACTCCATGAAAACTTTGATTGTCCATTGTGGCCCCACCCTACCCCCAGGGGTCATAATTGGAACAAATTTGAATCTACACCACCTGCAGATGCTTCCATATAAATTTGACCAATCATGGCTTTGCTGTTCTTGAGAAGAAGATTTTTGAAGATTTTTCCTATATTCTCCTATGTTAAACTTTAATTGTCGTCCAGTGTGGCCCCACCCTACCCCCCCGATGGTCATGATTTGAACAAACTTGAATCTACACCACCTGAGGATGCTTCCAAATAAATAATACCAATCATTGCTTTGCTACATTTGTATTCTTGAGAAGAAGATTTTTGAAGATTTTTCCTATATATTCCTATGTAAAACTTTGATCGTCCAATGAGGCCCCACCCTACCCCTGGGGGTCAGGATTTGAACAAACTTGAATCTACACCACCTGAGGATGCTTCCATATAAATATGACCAATCATAGCTTTGCTGTTCTTGAGAAGAAGATTTTTGAAGATTTTTCCTATATATTCCTATGTAAAACTTTGATCGTCCATTGTGGCCCCACCCTGCCCCCGGGGGTCATGATTTGAACAAACTTGAATCTACACCACCTGAGGATGCTTCCATATAAATATGACCAATCATAGTTTTGCTGTTCTTGAGAAGAAGATTTTTGAAGATTTTTCCTATATATTCCTATGTAAAACTTTGATCGTCCATTGTGGCCCCACCCTACCCCCGGGGGTCATGATTTGAACAAACTTGAATCTACACCACCCAAGGATGCTTCCATATAAATATGACCAATCATAGCTTTGCTGTTCTTGAGAAGAAGATTTTTGAAGATTTTTCCTATATATTCCTATGTAAAACTTTGGTCGTCCACTGTGGCCCCACCCTACCCCCCGGGGTCATGATTTGAACAAACTTGAATCTACGCTACCTGACAATAATTCCATATGAGTTTCATCTTTCCTGGCCCATTGGTTCTTGAGAAGAAGATTTTTCAATAATGCCATTAATTTTTTGCTATTTCATAATTATCTCCCCTTTGAGGAGGGAGTGGCCCTTCATTTGAACAAACTTGAATCCCCTTTACCCAAGGATACTTTGTGCCAAGTTTGATTGAAATTGGCCCAGTAGTTCTGGAGAAGAAGATGAAAATGTGAAAAGTTTACGACAACAACGACGCCGACGACGACGCCGACGACGACAGACAACGGACAAATTTTGATCAGAAAAGCTCACTTGAGCCTTCGGCTCAGGTGAGCTAAAAAAGAAGATAAAAACATCTTAGGTTAAAAAAAATAATACATGAAAAAGATAAACTTTTCTTTTAAGTTTAACACTAGAATATTAACACATTACGTTTAAATAAATGAATTATGATTACAATGTTGAAATACTTAAAAACTTTCCGAGTTTGGAAGATTGAGTATAAAAAAATCGACTGTCAATCGGGAAAAAGTTGTTCCTATTTAGACAATTTTATAGATGTTGAATTCCTTGTCAACACGATTTACGAAGTCCGCCAAAAGCCGCGCAGTTCTGGGAACTGTGTACCTCGCATTCTGCTGTATTGAGTCCAGATCGATACATACAAAAGTAGATTAATCAACATTTTCTACATTATACGGAGATAAATCGGCTAAAGTCATGTTCTTCAGTTTAATGAGATTTTTTCATCTTTTTTGTACCTACAGGATTGTCTTTACATGGGAATGACACCTAGTAATTCCAGGACTTTTGCAATCATGCAGGAGTGATAATAATTAAGATCTCTTCGTTTTATAGGTGTGCAATACTCCGACAATTGGTTTGGTCATGTGGTGGCGAACAACCATTTATTTCGTTATGTTAGGTAATTATCCACTTCTAAATATAGTGATCTAATTTCTTGACTCTGCATGTCTTTAATAATATCCTGTTTTTGTCGGCGACCTTTACCTTGTTATGTTTTGAATTATTTTGAAGACAATTAAAATCGATGAATCAGTACATGCACTTTGCAATTATCAGGTTGTGTATGTGGAGATGAAACAGTTTCTGCTTCGTTGGAGGAAAACACCACATCATCCGTTCCAAAGTCTTCTATGGAAAACGTGGCATCAACGGTGAATCTGATAGCAACACCCACTACCGAATTTCCCTCCACACAAAATTTCACACTCTCGCCATCAACTGATGTCTTTTTAACACCTTCCTTAACTTCTTCGGAGGAAAGTGTGATCGGAATAAATGGGTCCGTATTTACAAAATCAGTAGACGTATCAAGTCATGAAAGTTTTTCAAATTCCCTGGACACTTTAATGGGTTACGATGCCAGATCTACAAACACATCGCAGCCTGAGGTTTCTGCATCACCCAAACCGTCACAATTCGTCAGTGTTGAGCCTTCACTGCTTTATTCAACCTTTTCTATTCCAATGGAAAGCACGACTGAAAATTTCACATCTAGTGAATCTACTCTTTCACCAAGTTCTCTTACAACACACCCATACATTTCTAGCAATGCCTCCAGTTTCTCAGTTAGCAGTTCGATTTATCTGTCATCTAGTGTAACAGAAAATGTATCTACCACTACACGGTCCTTGTCATCAGCTGATAACTTTACGACGATCATCAGACCTGCGTTATCCTCGGCATTTACCCTCACAGAAACCGTTCCATCTCCATCATCCAGTGAGGTAGTGCCATCACTACAATCTGTGACTACTAGTGTAATATCAACCTCTTATTCTGACATCGAATCGATGACTATTTTGCCAGTCTCGTCGCAAAATGACTTAATTTCCGGAGACATGGAGACGTTAAGAGACCTATCATCTGTTGAATTTTCTTCAGTATTTCCATCAATAAGTTCTAGTGTTTATTTAACGTCATTTCAAAATTTACAAAATGAAACTGACTCGATGGTAAGCTCTTCGCTAACAACTGGCAATACGAGTTCTTTTCTTCAGGTTGCAACAAAGATTTCACCACAAACTACGGGTTCCGATTTGGAAAGTTTTGCAACACAAATCACCGACACTACTTTCTTAATTTCCTCAACTTCGCCTGAACGCGCAGACTCGGCATTTTCGTTTATTTCTACAGACATTTATGCTGGCAAATCTCAAGCTGCGTCTAGTGTTTTCACTCAAGCTGCTTCTAGTATCTTAACATATCCAAAGGAATTAAGTACCAAAACATCCACTGAACCGAATTCTTTTGGAGAAATTACTCTCGAGACTCGACCTCCACCAAGCTATCTAGCTTCTATTTATCCAACATCGATTCCGCTTTCTTCATCAATTCTTAGTCGTGAATCGGCATTCCACGGTTTTACACATTCCATTTCTACCACTGAAGATACATTTGTTCCACAATCAACATCCCTCTATAGCAAAATAGTGACATCAAGTTCTGCGTATATCACAACCACTGAATCTATACCAACAACTCAAAGAACAGATGGAACATCTGTAGACTTGGTCACCGCTGAACCTATATCGACAACTCAAAGAACAGATGGAACGTCCGTATACTTGGTTTTTGTAAACCACACATTTGAGATGATATTCAAAGGAAACTGTGAGCCACTTGTACAAGACAAGATTTTGTTAAAAACTTTCTGGGATCAGTTACAAGAAAAGATTATCCACAGACTGAATTATCCGAAAATTTCAGTCAGCGCTTCAAACATCGCTTGTAATCCTTTAAGAATTTCATTCACACTTTACCAGATACCTGAGAAAAATTGCACATTGGTCTTTAGCTCTTTAAAAGAATTAGTTAGTTTTGTTGATATAAATGTCACCATATTTGGACGAATAGAACATTACAAAGCTATTCAAGTAAATATGAGGCCATCTGTGAAGGACAAGGGTAAAGATAAACTTGCAGGATTGGAAGAAATAGACCTCATTGTTCTTATTGCCGCCGGTGCCTTTTGCTTTGTTTTAATATCTGCAGGTCTTGTCATATGTATACGAGAATCTTACAGACGCAAAAGAACGCGAACATTTGAACTGGCGAACAAATATCAAGCAGAGGATTTTACCCTCACCAAAATTCCGCGACCTGCAGTTAATTATACGGAAAAAGGTGAGGACATCCACTCTAACGGTCATAATAATGGTGACCCAACTGATGTAGAAAGAGAAACACTTATGGACAGTTTACATCTCCGTGTCAATTCTAATGAAAATGGACTGATGGTAGGGATAACTGGGACACTGGAAAGACAGAAGGCCGAGCCCGACTCTTCTCCGACACCGTCAGTCACGGACAGTGAGCACCTGAAAGTTCCACTAGTTTCCAGGAAAGAGGAAACCCTTCAGAGTCAGGATAACCCTATCTACTACATTGATGATGAACATAATGAATAAAGAGACACATATCTTGCTTATTATACTGATTATGAATATGATGAATAGCAATCCATCTCTATGTCAAAGAGGAACAGAAAGTTCTCATAAAACTGTGGAAATCGACTTGATAATAAGCCTATTCTAAACCATTTCAGGATATTTACTTAGAAAATGAAAGTTTTTGAATGAAGAAGATGTAATTTGCATTAGACAGATATACATAAAACTGTTACCCCCTATTCTAGCTGAGATAAATTGAATTGTCAGTTTTGGCATTTTAATTCAATAAATTCATCATTTGAAACGAAAAAATTAAAATAATCATTATTTATTTATTATTAGATATAAGGCCTTGAAAATTTGGACTTTCCATAGACTTGAATAAAAGATATTAGTCCCAGAAAACTTGTGATCTAGAATTAAACTTTTCCTCCTATTTTTTCAGAATATTGTCAAAACTACCTAGAAAATATGAATAGAAAGAAGGGGGAGTGGCTTAAAAAAATTATGCTTACTTTGATGGATAAAACAAGAGATGTTTGGTAAAAATGGCTGACAGCTGAGCAGAAATGTCCTTAATTTAACCTTCATTTGCAATGCATCATATAACATTCCTGTAAATCATGATTATGTAGCTCCAAGAAGAAATACTCATCCAAAATTAAAATGGTGTCTAATTTACATAGAAATGAAGAGCATGAATGTACGCGTTTTATGGGAATATTATACAATATTGCAATATTTTTTTCATAACCCATATCTCCTTTAAGTGTTTATTGAATATTGATAAACCCGTTATCTATAAATATGTATATATTAATATTTCAATGCAATTCTAATATGTGCAGGCACATTTGTTACTTAACATAAAACACATATTTTGAAATGTTCTCTTTCATAAAATAAACCACTACATGTACAAATGTTTTATCTTATTTTTTGCAATTCTTTCTCTACTAAAAAAAGGGAAGCTAATCATTATCAATGTTATAGTTTATTAGCTATGATTCTATTTATAACAACAAATCGCAGTCCCCTTACAAATCCAGCATAATGCACTAAATATACAAGCAGACAAATGGTTAGAGAGTACACAACCAAACACGCTATGAGGGATGATAATGATATGTTTACAGAATTCCTTATCACTCATTTAATGTTTGACTTCTGTTAATCATATAAAAATTGTACCTCTACAAGAAAAAAAAAAATTTCATATTCATTTTGTTCAGTAACGAAACAACATGTATTTCACAGTGTGTAAAGTTGCTATGATTTGGACTTCAGTGGTCATAATAACAATGAAAAGTTCTAGAATATGAAAAAGAATACATTAGCACTTGAATGTTAATGTTTTGCTTATGTTTAGGTGCATGCAAAAAAAAAAAATATAAAAATTTCACAGAATACATATCTTTTGGTAATAAATTTCAGTTTAGAACTGAATAAAATCCATACGTCTAATATTCTCCTACAATCAGAGAAGCATATCACACCAGTCTATCATTGGAATGTTTCTATAACATATACTTTGTAAGCATATTTCTATAATAAATTATAAACAGTTTTTCACTGCACTTGTGAAAAAATAGAAAATTGTTCATTTTTGAAATAAATATTCTTCTACTAAACCTATCACAGTTTCCCTCCCATTAAACTAAACATCTATATCAATATACAATAGTATAGTAAAAACCATTTTTAAGTCCCTACAAAATTTATAATTCACAAAGTTAGCATTGCACAGAAGAAATCCACACTTGAGATATTGCATTGCAACCGTTCCTATGGAGAGAGACTTCTCTAGCTACTGTGTGTTATGGCAGCCTGCTGATATCACACTTTGGAATGTTGGACGACTAGACTGAGGAATGTTAGTACTTCTCTTGGTATTCGTGGTGCCACTTGTTGAAGTCTATGTTGAACACCAGTAAACATCCAGTACCAAGTCCTGCCAGTAAAAACCTACAACACAAAGCAAACACCTTAGGACTAAGTACAAAATACTGGAATTTTCTAATGAATCTCAAGGATGAATTATTGAAATTGGGATGTTATAAAAAAGACTCTGTGTAACTCTCCTGATACTAAATCCACTTTAAAGCCCTATTACAAAGCAAAAGGGCAAACCATAAGCTATTATTGAATTAATTCTGAAGATAAATTATGCCAAGTGGGACAAGGGACATAATCTTCATTAACAATGTCGTATTAAATGCTTAGAAAAAAGTTTTGTGTCTTGAGACTTAAAGTACAATAAATAATTACAGAAAAATTTAATAGAATTAACAAAACTTAAATAATTTGAAATAAAAAAATGTTTTATGGTGTTTTTTTTTATAATAATCTTTGATTTTTCAAAGTCATTTAGCATTTTCCTTGCAATTTGCAAAGCAAATATTGTTTAAAGTACTAAAGTCTCCATTAAGTGACTTAAGGCACACAAGCTGTTTTAATTTCTAAAAAGTTCAAGAGGGGGAAATATATTTCCAAAATGGCATATTACAATGAAACTTAGCCTGGGAATAAGGCCTCTGTTGCTTTAATTCAGATTTCAATTTGCAAATAAGCACTGGAAAGATTTGGGAAACAGGTCTCATAAATAAAATGTTCATAAACCTTACCCCATTTATATCAAATACTGCCATAGCAGAAAATTTACTTTTGTCACAGTTACTGACTTACTTGTGGTCATGGGTCAATGCCAGTGACCTTATGCTGCTATCACATGGGGGATATGTATATAGAAGGGTCAAGTCATGTGACCTCCAGACTTCTACGATGCCAGAATTACCACCCAGCATCATGTACTGCCCATCTCGACTAAGAATCATTGTCTACAAATAAACAAGATGAAAAATTGTGGTCTTGTTGTGTTATTCATGCTTAATTCTTAAAAAGATACATGAGTACACTATCTCTAGAGAGTTTTCAAACTGAGGATATACAAATCAATAATATACTTAAGAGTCTACTGAGCCCTTTAATTGATTTTTTTAAAAAATTATAAAAAACAAGAAGTCTGTGAGCCAATGCTCACTAATAATACCCCCGCTCTGATGTGAATACACAAGTTCGGTTATGGACACACACAGTGATAATCAGGAAATTGACATCGGATTTGTAAAAACTGAATCTCAACATATGGCATGCCTAAACAAAGATTGTGCTAAAATTTCAAGCATCTGCGATGAGTAGTTGCTGAGAAAACTACAACTAAAATTTGCTACGTATGGTACGGACAGACGAACGGATAAACAGGAAGTTGACATCGGATTTGTTCCAAAAATAAATCCCACCATATGGCATGCCTAAACAAAGAGTGTGCTAAAATTTCAAGCACCTGTGATGAGTAGTTGCTGAGAAAACTATGACCAAAGTTTGTTATGTGTGGTACGGACAGACGCACGGATAAACAGGAAGTTGACATCGGATTCGTACAAAAATGAATCCCACCATATGGCATGCCTAAACAAAGAGTGTGTTAAAATTTCAAGCAACTGTGATGAGTAGTTGCTGAGAAAACTGCGACCAAAGTTTGTTATGTGTGGTATGGACAGACACACGGATAAACAGGAAGTTGACATCGGATTCGTACAAAAATGAATCCCACCATATGGCATGCCTAAACAAAGAGTGTGTTAAAATTTCAAGCATCTGCAATGAGTAGTTGCTGAGAAAACTGCGACCAAAGTTTGTTATGTGTGGTACGGACAGACGCACGGATAAACAGGAAGTTGACATCGGATTCGTACAAAAATGAATCCCACCATATGGCATGCCTAAACAAAGATTGTGCTAAAATTTCAAGCATCTGCAATGAGTAGTTCCTGAGAAAACTGCGACCAAAATTTGTTACGGACGGACGGACAGACAGACAGACAGACACACAAGGGTAAAACAGTATACCCCCCTCTCCTTCGGAGCGGGGGTATAATAACATGGTATATGCAATAAGATCAACTCTGTCTTCCAGAAGAAAAGAACTTTAAATGAAGGCTCTATATCATGTACTCTGTTACAACTGTTGGAGGAAAAATTAATATATTTTTTAATTTGGGAAACTATCTTTCTAGAAGTACACTGCATAGATTTAAAGTCAAGTCTTACATGGATGGTATCCTTGTGGTTGACATTCTGTAGAAGACGTCCATTGATACTGAAGTTGCATATATGACCCTGGTCAAATTTGACCAGTACAAATCCTTCCCTGGACACAATGATTAGCTCAGGGGACAGGCAACCTTTAGGTGGGTCCAAGGATCGCAGGAGGTCCCCATTCAAAGAGTGGACCAAACAGGCTCCCTCTGCAAAAAAATTTATCAACACACAATTATTAATTTGTAACAAGTCATCTACATATTGTAAAAGATACAAGTCTGTCTACACTCTAAAATTATACAAGAAGTACACTGATTTAAAACAGATCTACAGGCCTTGTAAAATTGAAATACAGTTGAACTTAAGTATCTTGAACATCGATATCTCATCTACCATGGATATATCAAAGTGAGTTGGATGTCCAAACATTTTTTTCTTTATTTATTTTAACTTTTGCTATCTTGAATCCTCAGACACTTCAATTTTGAAGATTTTTCTTGGCCCCATTGCATATGAGATACGAAGGTTTGACTGTGTTATGATTTAAAAAAAAAAATCCTTTTCCAATTCATGTAAAATTTAAAGCTTTTGTGATCTCTACCAAGAGCAAGATAGTGTAAGAATTAGAGTTATTGCCCTTGGAATCTTTTATGGCAGATAGTATGTAAATGTTTTACCTCTAGATCCACTCAGTACCAGCCCCAGTTCAGCCAGAACAGCACAACAAATCACCTCCGAATCATGGCCTGTCAGGGTGGCCTTTGGAGTGGGGTGTTCTAAGCCTGTAAAACATCACAGATCTTATGCTACATGGCAAAAGGTTAAAAATTCATCTACAACAAATAACTTGTGGTGTTTTGTGATACATTTATTATTCTAATTTATTGCATTAATTCCTATAGAACTGTATCATTTCAGTCATGTAATCATACTGTAAGTTATTATAGTGTTTACAGTTTACCCCTGATATTCCAGTGTTTACAGTTTACTTACTTCCATTGTCTCCTATGATAGCCTGGTTACGGGATGTAAACATCCACACCATGGCTGTGCAGTCCTTTGATCCTGTGACAACGTAACAGTCCTGATTTAGATTACACTCTGATCTTGTAATGCAGGTCACCACATCAAAGTGCCCGTACACAACCTGGAGGATCTTTCCTGCAGTGAAAGTTTCAAAATATGTAATTATTCAACAATTTAGCTAAAGTGAATTCCAAAGTGGAACCTGTAATTGGTAAAAAGTTTACCAAACAAAAATAATTGGTAATAAATTTACACAAACAATTCCTCTTGTATTTTATTATACAGATTGTATAACATTGATCTTTCTGAGAGTATGCAAACTACCTAACTTGAGGTTTTCTCAAAATTTGTACCAACCTGAATCAGAGCTAAAAATTCTGAAGCTTTTGTCCCAGAATCCACAAGCAAATATGAATCGGTTGTCAGCTGATGTGACAAAACTCTGATGAGTGGGTTTTAATCTCTCGTCAAAGTTGTCTCCCATTGATCGTCGCTGTAGGCCAGTGTTTGTTACTGGTAAAAGTAATGAAATTAAATTTAAATTACATCATCTAAAATCATCTACAAATAATTATGTCAAAGTCCTTTAGGGGTATATCCAAGCACCAGTGGTAACCATTCAAGTAAGGCAAAGTACAATTTTTTAGACAGATCTTATTCACACAATTGCTGTTTTTTTTTCCATTCAGAAATTTTAAGAGTTGGAACTAAGTGTTCAAGTGATAAGAAAACCATTTCTGGAGGACAGGTCTTTTATTTATATAGTAAATAAGCCTATCATTTTTAATTATCAAATTTTTCTATGTTTTAATATCTAAATCAAGCAATGTGACATCATATCTGAAGATCTTAATACTATGGATAGCCGAAATGCTTCCATCAAAATATTTCTGTGCAAGACATTATTTAGAAATCCTCCATTATACTGAACAAAATAAACCAAGAAGAAAATGCAAAGTCTGGGTGAAAAAAATAATAATCAGAAATATCATTTTGTAACTACTATATAAAATATATGTACAAGAGAGGAATTCTTCTGGGTGTTAGAAAATTTTGACAAGGTTAAAATGCTCTCTCAAACCAAAATGTATATTTACACATATTTAAAGAGCTAGGTTCACTTTATGCATAAAATGGCCCTGTCCTTTTATCAATTAATTGACTATCACCCTCTGTCCTATTTCATATATCAAAATTAAGTAGAAACTTAGTGTTCTCATTTCCTATGAAAAAAATTTTCTTTTTGAGAATACAGGTAATGGAAAACAGGCTTTATGAAAATGTTATGTTCTTGAATTTTGCAGAAAACAGGCGTATTTGACTACCTTCAGCAAAGAAAATATAAGCACAGACCTCGATCCAAAAATCAAAACATGTTTTATTATCTTCAGAAACAGATCTTTCATTATGTAATTGGATATTTTGGATCAGAGGTTGTGCTCTATATGAAATATTGAAAAAATACTTCAACTTTTGGCTATTTTTAAAGAAATTTACAGGATATGGTAAAAATGACGCATTTCATGACGTCATAATGCATTGACTAGAGAGAAAATTATCTCATGTTCTATAGATACATAATCACCAAGGGTCCAAGTGATAAATACAGCATTTTCAACCAAAACTGAGCAGTTTCAATTTTTAAGAAATTCACAGGGCCAAAAAAGGCCCTAGGTGGCCCTTGCTCTTTCTGAGTATATCTACAACAGATTCACTGGAAATGAGTTAAAAGCAACGGGACCGACCAAAAACAGAAATGGAAAAAAGATGATGAAAATGAGTCAAGGACAACAATTATGTTCCCCACCACACACATAAAGGGGACAAAAGGATAACCAGCACTCCCAATATTTTCTTCTGATTTATCATTTATTCTAAATTATTGCAGAGGTGTTTACCCTCTTCTACAGCATACAGTAATTTAAATCCCTATCACTGCTTAAGTATTAATTGACGCAACATAAAAAGAACAATTTGGAGCATATCCTTGAAGCATAGTTTGTGGACGCTGATCCGTAATCTTTATTTTGAAACAAAAATCCAAGATAAATATGGAATTTCCATAATACTGGAAGTAAACAGCTCTGTTATTGTATTTTACACACTTGGAATTTAATGACCAATCCTCTTGTCATAGCAATATTCTGATGATGCAGAGAGAAAGGTCATAAAAAATATATACAGATAATTTTCAACACATACTGATTTTGTGTCAATTAAAATTATACATGTTCTGAAGTCTTCGTGTTATCACAAGTAGAAGAATTTATGAAAATACTTTTACATGCCAAAGACACATCCAACATTAACAGAAATTTCTCTTGAGAAATATTTAGATTATCATTCATGTTAGAGAGACATACATAAAAAAATTCTGTGAGTACGAATTCAAAAGATGAACAATACCATGCACAATCATAATACAGATAGACATTATATCTTTGGAAGATTTAACTACGAAATGTCACAGTAGACTTTTGGGTGTACACATAAATAAAACGATTACATCAATATTCCCTTATAGTGAGGTTACAATTAACATTGAAATTTACCAACTGATTAAAATGATAAATATTTACAAAAACACCAAAGGAAGACTTGTATGACATGATGCCTCCCTCACATTGACATTGTTTTGCCTATACCGGTAGATTACATTGTTCCTTACCTAACAGTTGGTCCATAGCCAGGGGCAGATTTAACTGTGGGTCAGGCTTATCTGAGGAGAAACTTGTGGGAGGGCCTTGTTCTGTAAGATTGCAATTTTCATATACCTCATTCAAAAATGGAAAGAAGACTTTAAAGGCAATAATAAGAGGTCAAATGCACAGCAGCCAAAATCATGCAATAGAGAAAATACCTCCAAAATGATGATACATGCTCTTTTTATTTAGGAAAACAGATAATTTATCATTACTTACGTTGAAAGGCAGTGTTCCATTTGTTGACGGCAAAGTTGTGGTTGCAGGTGATGGTTGTGACGGCGGGGACAGGGACAGCGGGGTGAGTGTTGGCCGCGATGTGAATGACAGGAGAATTGGACAGGAACTTCATGATCATACACACATCATCTTGGACCGTGGAAAACATCATTGGAGTCTGAAGTGTACAGGGAAAAAATGAAGTGAACAACAACTTAGTTTTCTGTATATATTTTTTTAGAGTAATTTACTAGAAGCTCTTACTGCCTTAGATTCTCTAAAGCTGAAAGGTAATTACTAGTCACATATGATAAATTTACAGAATTTAGATACTTTATATCTACATGTATTTGCTGATTCAGTTCTATAATTATCATTGTTTCAACATAAATATGGTATCAGTTACATGCCATATTAAGTTAGAGTACAAAAATGTTTTGCAATAACAATACAAATATTAAACATAAAAGAAGTACAATTTCTTTCCAAAAATTTATCCAACTCCACATAATTGAACAAAATAGACAAAGTAACTGAGAGAGTCAAATCATCTAATTCCTTACAATGAATTAGTTGTTACTTCATAAAATAGTTAGTTATAAAATATCCCATCACCTTTGTTATAAAATCATTCAATCTAGAAATTTCTAAACATTCCTCTCAAAGTCACTAATGAGAAAAAAAAACAATCTGGCATAATTAAAATTAAACGTAATAATGTCCTGTACAACTACCACCAAAAATGATTGATATTAAAGTGAACCTTTCTCCCTCTGAGTTTGTTCTCTTGATATCGCTCAGACATCTGAAAATTCAGCACATTAGTAGTTAGTCCTGACTTTCAGGGACTTTTCAATTAATTCATGAACATAAAGTCATTGTCCATCATACAATGACATGAATTTCTCATTTCCCCAAACAGCAACAGATTTCAATGAACAGAAATATTTTAAAGCCTGTGCCATATTACATGAACTGGTTAGAAACAGTATTATGGATGAAGCTGTGAGTAACAATCCACAAAAAGCACAACAATGATATGTTACTTGTTTACTGTGTCATGACCAATGTTGGGTATCAGCGAGGGTCAAACTTACCAGGTGCATCAGAGAACTGCGGGGTGGGTGTGGCTCTGTAAGGAGCTGGGTGGGGGTTTGTCCAAAACTGCGGATCTGGTTCTCTATTGCCTGTTAGTAATACATTTTAATTTACTCAAAACTTCAGTGTAGTGTCCTACTTCTGGAGCACATTGTCTTTGCAAAAAAAATGTGATTGTTCTTCTTTTTTTTATGAAAGATTTGAAATATATTATCTGCAATCAGTATTATTACACATGAGATGAATATGTTCAATATTACGTTCAAAACATAAAACCTCTTTCATGACAGGGTCTGTCATGTTTTCTAGGTTGACACTGCCTTCGTATGTAAGATAGTAAAAAACATTTGTAGATCGCACTGCTTCTGGACCTAGAACAAAGCATATCCATATACTGATACACTGTATTTGTAATTTTCTTTTAATAAACCTCTTAATTTTTAACATCATACTTAACTGTAAAGGTACAAAAAGTGATTGCAAATACATGTAGGAACCCATTTCTAATATAAAATACTAAGATACCTTCAATTAACTGCATTTGAAACTGAATGTAATTTACAATGTTTTACAATTTACATATTAAATTTCTAATTTCATGCATTATGATAGTAAGATGAATACCTACCTCTTTGTTTATATCCAAATATCAAATCAATCCAATGGTGAAGTTGACAAGACACAAATTCTGATTCTAAGGCCTGAAATAATTCAAGATTTCATAACACTTTCATATTTATTTTTGGGAAAGGGGGGGGGGAAGTTTGCCAACTTGATGCATGAACATATACCCAGAATAAAACAAATTTCATGGATGAAAAAGGAACTCTAAAATTGAAAAGGTTTAATACAGTTAGTCTTCTTGAACTTAACCATCACTGAACTGATAAGCTCTATTTACAGGGACTGACCATTCTGTTAATTCGGACGAAATCATCAGGGTTCTTTGCCCATGGTGGCATTTCTACATCGCTAACCTCCCCACCATCTTCCTGTCTACCAAATTTGAATCTGTTTTGATTGATGAACATTTCTGGGAGGAAGAAAAATTCAGGGATCAGCTCCTGTAGAAAGGATAAACAACAGTTTTTTTTTACAAGTAACAAATTGCAACCTATGGCAGTTAATGAAGTCAAATGAATTGCATTCTGCTTATTTGAAAATACAATTCATTCATAATAACTTTTTATTTAACAAGAGGCCCAGTCACCTGAATATCACAAGGTAAGTTTTTTTTTTTTTTTTACTATATTATTTTGTAAAATATGGACCCCTGTTGTAGCCCCTATCATTGCCCTTTGGGAACATACCAGTAGATTAAATCTCTCTACAAGATGAGTATGCTTGAAATAAATTTGAAATTTTGAATCCTGTAGTTCTTGAGATGATACCATTTATATTTCAATGTAAAATTTCAAATCTTTTTATGCCTCCACTATGACCCAATGGGGCTTGCATTAACAAAATTGAATCTTCATTATATAGGCAGCCTGCATATAAAGTTTTAATTCCTGGCTCGGTGATTCTTTAAAATAATTTTTTTCACAAGACTTCACTCTATTTTATCAATTTCTTAATTACATGTATATCCCTTTGACAAGACACAAAACCGTTCATTTAAGCAAATTCAATAGCAATTCTGAATGACGTTTTCGGCAATTTTGTGTTTTCAATAATTTTGTTTTTGTTTGTTTTTTTAACTTGACCCAGTGGCTCTACAGGACAAGTTTAAAATGTTCAAAGTTTACATACAAATGCCAGATACACTATGATCAGGAAAGCTTACTTGAACCAATGGTTCAGGTGAACTAAAATTAACACTATTGAGCAAACTGCTCTAATTGCATACCTTGACATCTGATGTATCCCTCTGGCAGTTCTTCCAAGATTGTGTTACAGAACTAAATGTTCTGTTGGCATGATCAAACTTGCCTCCTTGAAGGTTCAAAAACATAGTAGAAAATGGCTCCTACAAAAAAAATAAATACATGTAAATAAACAAAAACAAGAAGTCTGTGAGCCAATGCTCACTAATAATACCCCCGCTCTGATGTGAATACACAAGTTCAGTTATGGACAAACACAGTGATAATCAGGAAATTGACATCGGATTTGTAAAAACTGAATCCCAACATATGGCATGCCTAAACAAAGAAAAAATTTCAAGCATCTGCGATGAGTAGTTGCTGAGAAAACTATGACCAAAATTTGTTATGTATGGTACGGACAGACGAACGGATAAACAGGAAGTTGACATCGGATTTGTTCCAAAAATGAATCCTATTATATGGCATGCCTAAACAAAGATTGTGCTAAAATTTCAAGCATCTGCAATGAGTAGTTGCTGAGAAAACTACGACCAAAATTTGTTATGTATGGTACGGACAGACGCACGGATAAACAGGAAGTTGACATCGGATTCGTACAAAAATGAATCCCACCATATGGCATTCCTAAACAAAGAGTGTGTTAAAATTGCAAGCACCTATGATGAGTAGTTGCTGAGAAAACTGCGACCAAAGTTTGTTACGTGTGGTACGGACAGACGCACGGATAAACAGGAAGTTGACATCGGATTCATACAAAAATGAGTCCCACCATATGGCATGCCTAAACAAAGAGTGTGTTAAAATTTCAAGCACCTGTGATGAGTAGTTGCTGAGAAAACTGCGACCAAAGTTTGTTATGTGTGATACGGACAGACGCACGGATAAACAGGAAGTTGACATCGGATTTGTACAAAAATGAATCCCACCATATGGCATGCCTAAACAAAGATTGTGCTAAAATTTCAAGCATCTGCGATGAGTAGTTGCTGAGAAAACTACGACCAAATTTTTTTATGTATGGTACGGACAAATGCACGGATAAACAGGAAGTTGACATCGAATTCGTACAAAAATGAATCCCACCATATGGCATGCCTAAACAAAGAGTGTGTTAAAATTTCAAGCACCTCTGATGAGTAGTTGCTGAGAAAACTGCGACCAAAGTTTGTTACGGACAGACAGACGGACAGACAGACAGACAGACACACAAGGGTAAAACAGTATACCCCCCTCTCCTTCGGAGCGGGGGTATAAAAAGCAACACAGAATTTAAATATAAGATGCAGGGTTGTCGTTAAGATTTGAAATAGCAGGGGACATTAAAAAAGTAGAAAGGGGTCTGGAGTTCCTCCCCTAAGAGGGGCTGAGGGAGAATATCAGAATAACTGGAGGATTACATCATTATAGGTGGGGAAATTCCCCGGCCCCCGGGTCCTAAGGACAACCCTGAGGATGTGCAACTATGATGTGAAATACTGTAACTGTATTATATTTAGCGGAAATTGGTTTTTCATCAAGTTAGCCTACATTTAAATTAGCAACTTCTGTATATTCTACATATAAATATATATATACAACACAATTAACGATTGACTTGATTTAGCAGTAGCTGCTTTCTGCGAAAGGAACTAAATAGAATACACATCCAAATGCAAAACATTTACAAGATAAAGAATTATTTTATGAGAGTTCAAAAGTCTACTATACCAAAACCTTATTTTTCATCAAGAGGTGAGTTTTTTGGAATATTTTTTGGTATGTTGCATATTTATTTTGTGGCAATGACCATATTTAATCTTCAAAACCCAATTTTTGTGTTTTTCCTTTAATGAAATAAGGAGTTATCTCTATGTTCAGAAGGCATCTTATATAACATATACATGTATCCCTGTGATATTTTGTTATTATTTTTGGGGAACTCAAAAATTGACATTTAATTTTTCATGTAAAAATTCATGCCTTCCCTCCAAAGTTAGGGTGCCATTTTAAAATTAGATGTTTGAGTTTCAATCCCGATTTAAATTTAGATTTGTAAATGGTGTACTTGTATTGTCATTAATTTTTATGTTATACTTTGTGATATATGTTAAATTCAAGTTAAACATGCACTTTTTTTTTTTTAATTTACTTGTAACTAAACCTAAGCTTATATTTATTCAAGTGGTCTGTGTTATTGCCAGTTTTCAGTTCGTATCATGGCACTTTGGTAAACACACTTTAGCACATCTACCATGAAAGGTGTTCATTGCACTGAAGTGACTCAGGTAATATTGAGAGGCCAGATTAGAGGAAATGATTACCATTAATTATGAGCAATTGGGACCTATATGGCTGTTCAGAAAACAAAATAGACAGTATTTGAACTTCACAGAATTTTTCATAATACACTTGGGACTAAAATTTAAAGCTGAAATGGACGAAATCCCAGAGTACTCAGAATCCAGATTAGACAAATTATACTGTACTAGGAGGATCCACTTTTTACTTACTACTCGGATGAGCCAGTTGAGAGTAAAAGCTGCCGTAGAGTAATGAGTACCGTAGTGAAATGGGGGAATTTGATCGTGTTCCCAAGAATTGTAGCGCTCCTCAAAAAACTCCCTTCTGGTGGGGTTCAGAGCACCAATTGGCTGAATAAAGAGAAACAAAATTTAACTCTCACAATTTAGTAATGCACACAGAATTCCTTTAAAAACTAAATACTGTGGTTTCATCATTATTCGTAGAACACCAATTTTCGTGGATTTCGTCGTTGAATCGATCCACGAAATCAAATGTTCATCGAAATCTGGTGCCTCCATTTTGATTTATGATAAACCTTTAACACTGTTTAAAAAGCCCTTTCTCTTTCGTTAATATATGCTAATCCTCCCCCCCCCCCTCTTTCCCAACAGATTGACTTTATAAACGCGTATTTTATCATTTTAAGAATATTTAAAAAAGAGGAAGGTAAGAAATACTCTTACATAATTATCTGGACTTTTGAATAAAAATGTTTTAATATTCTGCAGGGATATAAACAAACAACACGTAGATCCGTCAACGCAGTGCATATACCAATCAGTGGTATTACCCCAAAGGATGATGTGTTAAATTTGTTATTCTCAAATAATGTAAGGGTCCAAACCCCATTATCTCCTGCACAATGAAAACAACAAATTATCGTTGACAATTTAATGCTAATTTGACTTTTATCTGTTTGTTTAGAGACATATTTTTTGCTAAACATGAGATAACTGGTATGTATGTTGCGAAAGTTATGCAATTCGAAGCCCATCTTAATTATTTGTCATCCATTTTGCATGTTTAAGCGTGAGGTCATATCCAGCGAGCGTGTATGTGTTTGTTCGGAGATTTACAAACAAGGGGGTCTGGATGTCTCTGTCAAGTCCAAAAACACACGCCGTGCATGTGAAAATAAATATCTAACACCATTTTGTAAATTAAAATACTTAATTGTTTTTAATATATCCTGTTGCCACACTTTATTATCGTCCGTATAAACATGTGTGCCTAAAAGATAAAATCCAAACTGTCTTGATATTTTGAGATACTTGCAAATCTTTTCCCCGAAGCGTTGATTAAATAAAAGTCTATTTTTTAATTAATTGCTTTTAATATTCTGTTTCAATATCCGATATTTAATTGGCCAATCGAGCTCATAGTGTTACACCAAAGGTATTTGGAATGCCTAACCCTTTATTGTTACACCACACTGCGTTGTAAACGCTTAAAGGTTCTGATTTCCAAAAATACAGATTAGTAAAATATAAATACAGTAAAACTTGTCTAATCCGGCGACCATTGGTTCCAAAATTTTTGGCCGGATTAGACAACATCCGGATTGGAGAAAATTGAATCGTTATAGCAAGTTAAAAATTACATAGAGATAAACAAAGATGGTAAATAAATACTTAATCAAATGTGTCATTTTTTACGTTTCACTTGAACACATCGTCTATTTCGTTTGTTTTGAACTCTGTTTGTTCTTCAGAATTTTCATTTCTGTTTAAGTTTTTTATTCAGTAACGAAATATATTATCTGTTGGTCATTCATTAAATTTGAAAATCGTTAAATGTTATAAACACACTCCAAAACCTCATCGTAGCTGTAAATATTATTTTTTTTGGGACAAATTCTTAAATTAACTTCTTTCTAAACTAGCGACACAAAGGGAAGTAATTCGAATTGCACGTCGTGCACGCAAAAAGAAAGTAGAAAGGAGGTCATGAATAAGTCTCCAAGTTTTTCTTTGGACATGCTACACGCAACCATCACTATCACTCGATCTTTTGCGAGTTTCAACGCCTTACTTGAGCCATTAATGATTTTTTTTTATCACGTTTGTTAAAATCTGAACTGTCGATACAGGATAGATCATTAACGGGACAATAATTACCCCACGCGAGACTTCTCTAATGACCAGCGGCCACAGGTAAAAATAAGTGGCCGGATTAGAGAAGATAATTTGTACTAATTATGAGCAGTTAGTTCTTTAAATAGCGGCCGGTTTACAGAATAGGCAAGATCCGGATTGAACAACATTTATTAAACATAAACTATAAAGAAAATTCAAGGGACTAAAATATTACGCCGGACTGAACAACATGCCGGAATGCACAACATCCGGATTCAACAAGTTTTACTGTAATAAATTAAAGTTTTTAGCTGTTAGTAATGTTTCTTAAAAATATTTACGTACTCTAAACATTGTAAATGACAGGACGGTTCCTTGCTAAAGCGTACAGAGAGAGAAAATATGAAAAGATGACCGACAAATTTTTTTTGTTAGGAACATTATCCACGAATTTACGTATCCTCGAAACTGTGATTTTTACTAAATCCACGAAAATTGATGCCCACGAATATTAATGAAACCACAGTATATGGTATGCAATATCCAGAAACATACAAATGTGCTTACTTTTGACAGATCTCTAAAATTACTTGGTTGTTTCAAATCTAATTCATCCGAGTCGTAGTTCACAATTACCCAAGGATACACAGGATACTGGTTTAAGTCATTGTATGTACGACCTGCAATAACAAATAACACTTAATGTGAACTGATGTTTGCAGCTTAGTATTCTGTGGTATTGTGAGAGAAAAAAAAAGCCTAGCAATCTGGGGTAAAGGAGATGGGAGTCTTGATTTCTCTGGATTTGTAAGGGAAAGAGCCTGACATTCTGTGGTATTATTGTAGAAAGAGCCTGGCATTCTGTGGTATTATGGAAGAAAGAGCCTAGCATTCTGTGGTATTATGGGAGAAAGGGCCTGGCACTCTGTGGTATTATGGAAGAAAGAGCCTAGCATTCTGTGGTATTATGGAAGAAAGAGCCTAGCATTCTGTGGTATTATGGAAGAAAGAGCCTAGCATTCTGTGGTATTATGGAAGAAAGGGCCTAGCATTCTGTGGTATTATGGGAGAAAGAGCCTAGCATTCTGTGGTATTATGGGAGAAAGGACCTGGCACTCTGTGGTATTATGGAAGAAAGAGCCTAGCATTCTGTAGTACTGTGGGAGGTAAAAACCTAGCATTCTGTGGTATTGTGGGAGATAAAGCCCGATAAACTGTGGTACTGTGGGAGAAAAGCCGGATACTGTAGATCACCAAATTTTCGGGACTCCTTATTTTTGTGAGATATGTACGTGGTATTTATTAGCAAGACAAGTTTTCACGAATTCTGGGTACTGCTGTATAAAAAATATATGCTTGAATTTTTGCGAGCAGACTATCTCCCATAATTACGTGAAAATAAAGTTCTTGTGAATAAAAAGTGTTTTACAGTAATCTGAGGTATGAGGTATTACAGGAGAAATAGCCACGGATTCTGTGGTATTGTAGGATATAGAGCCTGACATTCTGTGGTACTGTAGGAGATAGAGCCTGATATTCTGTGGTTTGTGGGAGATAGAGTATAGCATTCCTTGGTATTGTTTGATATAGAGCCTAGCATTATCTGATTTCTTTGGGGATAGAGCCTAGCATTCTGTGGTATTGTTGGAGATGGAACCTAACATTCTGTGGTATTGTTCGAGATGGAACTAACATTCTGTGGAATTGAGGGAGATAAAACCTGACATTCTGTTGTACTGTGGGGGATTTAGCCTGGTATTCTGTGGTAATTAGGGAGAAAGAGCCTAGTATTCTGTGGCATGGTGGGACATAAAGCATTCTGTGGAAGTGTGGGATAAACAGAGTCCAGTACTTGGTGGTATAAGGAGAGATAAAACCAAGCATTAGCAACCTGTGGAATTGTGGGATAAAGAGCCTAGAATTCAGTGGTATTGTGGGAGATAAAGCCTAATATTTTGTGGTGTTGTGGGAGATAGAGCTTAGGATTCTGTAGTATTGTTGGTGATAAAACCTAGCATTCTGTGGTACATGTGTATTATGGGAGATAGTGCCTAGCATTCTATGTTATTTTGGGAGATAAAACCTAGCATTCAATGGGAGATAAAACTAAACATTCTGTGGTATTGTGGAAGATAGAGCCTAACATTCTGTGATACAAGAGATAAGCCTAGCATTCTGTGATATCGTTGGATAAAGAGTCTAGCATCTTATGGTATTGTGGAAAATAACACCTAGCATTCTGTGGTTTTATTGGAGATAAAGCATAACATTCTGTGGTACTGTGGGAGATGGAGCTTAACATTCACTGATATTGTGGGAGCTAAAACCTGGCAATATGTGATATTGTGGGATTTAAAGAATTCTGTTGTATTATGGGAAATAAATTCTAGCATTCTATGGTATTGTGGGAGATAGCATCTAGATTTCTGTGGAATTGAGAGACATAAAGCCAAGCATTCTGTGGTACTGTGGGAGATAGAGCTTAACAATATCTGATATTGAGAGAGATAAACCCTGGCATTTTTTGGTATTGTGGACATAAAGCGTAGCATTCTGTGGTATTGTGGGACATAAAGCCTAGCATTCTGTGGTATTGTGGAATATTCAGCCTAGCATTCTGTGATATAAGAGGAGATAGAGCCTAGCATTCTGTAGAATGGTGGGAGATAGATCCTAGCACTCTAGTATTGTGGGAAATAAAGCCTAGCTTTCTGTGATATAAGGGGAGACAGATCTTGGCATTCTGTGGTATTAGGTGAGAATTAGCCTAGATTCTGTGATATTGATGGACATAAAACCTATTATTCTGTGCTACGTGGGATATAGAGTCCAGCATTCTGTGGTATAAGGGGCGATAAAACCTAGCATTCTTTGGTATATGAGCCTAGTATTCTGTGGTATTGTGGGAGATAAAACTTGAATTCTGTGGTACTGTATTTTTGTAGATAAAGCCTAGCATTCTGTGGTATTTTTGTAGATAAAGCCTAGCATTCTGTGGTATTTTTGTAGATAAAACCTAGTATTTTGTGGTACTGTAGGAAATAAAACCTAGCATTCTGTGAAACTGTGGGAGACAGAGCCTGGCATTCTATGGGTTTAAGAGATAGAATCTAGCATTCTGTGGTATTATGGGAGATAAAGACAGCATACAGCATTCTGTGTTCTAAATGGAAATAAAGCCTACCATCCTGTGGTATTTTGGGAGATAAATTGTAGCACTCAGTAGTATCAAGGGAGCTAGAGTTTAACATTATGGTATTGTGGAAGATAAAGTCTAACATTCAGTGGTACTGTGGTGGTATTGTGGGAGATAGATCCTAGCATTCTGTGGTATTATGGGAGGCAGAGCCTAACATTCTATGGCATTGTGATTTAAATTAGAGATTAATTTGGTAATATGCTGAATAAAATACATACTATGGTTTCATTTGAGATAGACAGAACAATTTTCTTTGGTAACATATTGATAAGTCTGACAATTGACAATCTATGGTATCACAGGGGATACAAACACTAATTTTGATTGATGATGTGATGGATATGTTTGATATTCCTTATTACCGCCATTACAAGATGGCATTCCATTCTATTGTAAGGTATAGTTTAGGAATTTTTGGGGTATCATGAGAGATGGAGGCTGACATTTTTTAATATTTTGGTATGTGTTTAAAGTCTGAAGTATGCAATTCTAGTTAGCCAAAAAGCCTGATACTTAACACTTACCTACTTTCAGCAGGACTGAGAAGTAGTTAGTCAATACAGTGTTAATTCTACAAACTTGGCCTTCAGTATTTGCAAGTTTTACAAAGAGTTCTGACACCCTGACATAGTGTTCCATCACAAAAGATATAAATTGACAATCTAGTCTGACAATCTATGGCATTGTGGGTAATCAAACACTGACAATATATGGGTAATGTGGTATATAACGGCAGGTATTGTGGGTTTTTGAGACCAACTTTCAGAGGTATTGTTGTAGTGTACCAATTTGGATATTCAAAGTTTTTTGGAAGACATTCTTTTGAATAAAAGATTTGAGTTCAACATTTTGTGTAACTTTGGTAATACGTACCCTGTGTTGATAAATCAAGTAGAGTATTCTATGGTATTTCAGGGAATGAGACGACATTCTATTGTATTAAATTTGTGGACATTCCAAGTGTATGTGGCAGTTATTGGGTTTGTTTTTTGTTGGGATTTTTTTTCTCCTTTTTTGTGATTTATATTTGCAACTTGAGCAATGAAACTAAATGAATGCATGACAATATACTACAAGCAAAATATGTAGCAATCAAAATACAGTATAATTTGTCCACACCAGATACCACCAGTTCCATAAAAATTGGCCGGATTAGACAGAGTCTGGAGTGCAGAAAAATATTAGAAATTTATTTCCATTGTTTTATCGACAAGCACAATAAATATGTTAGCAAAATATAATTAAGTGGTTAAATTTTTCGATATTTTTGGAGTCCAGATATTACTCTAGAGTATATGCATGACTTGCCGTCAATTTTTCTTTTTCCTTCAAAAAGTTCAAGACCTCAAACGTGAAATGTATACAAAGTCAAACACAGGTTTTGCAGTTCAAAAAAGCACATTCAACATAACCACAAACACAATTATTATTTTTGTGATTTGATAGTTATGGAATTGACATTTAAACTTTTTAAGTTAACTTGTACATTTTCCCTCCATAGAAAGCCATTTTGAAATTTGACAATTGAGTTTCGATCCCGATTTATATTTTGATTTGTAAATAAAGTACCTGTATTGTCATTGACTTTGTTATACTGTGTGATATGGATTAAAAGCAAGTTAATAGTGTAAGTAGTTTATTAATTTACTCGTAACTAAACCTTATACTTATTCAAGAGGGCCGTCTCCGCCAGGTTTCAGTTCGTATCATGTCACATGTAACACAAATTAGCACGTATATCACAAAGGTGTTAATTACATTGAAATGACTGAGGTAATATGTGTGGCCGTATTAGAGGAAATAATTACCGTTAATTATGAGCAGTTGGGACCAATATGGCTGTTTAGAATACAGAATAGACAGATTCCAGACTACACATAATTTTTTATGATACATTTGTTAAAGAAGTGCATGGAACTAAAACTTAAAGCCAAAATGGACAAAATTCTGGAGTATTCAGAATCCCGATTAGACAAATTATACTGTACATATTTTAGTCTTCATGGTATATTTCAGAGCCCCACCTGCTATGGTATTGAGATACATAAGATAGTCAAAGTTAGAGATCTCCCTCCTTTGCCACTTCTGGGTCATACTGGATAGTTTATACAATTGTTTTCCTGATGCCAAGGACAATCTCCTGCAAAACAAAAACACTGAGTGCAAAATGGAAATTTTAATTTTTGTAGCATTGATATGATTTGATATCCTGAAAAACTTTCGAGATTTCTTTTCCTAGATTTTCTCTCACACTGATGTGAAAAGTAACAGATTCTTAGAGTCAATTTCTTTCCTTACTATTTCAAAAAAAAAAACAACAACAAAACAAAACCATTTCTTGTTATTTGTTGGGTTTGCTTGGTTCTAATTAAACCCACTTCTTGCTGATTTCCTTTTTGATAAATGAACACATTTTTGCTGAATTTAATACCTGGCTTGTGGCAATCCATATTTGACTCCCACTCCAACACGAGGCAAGGCATTGACAACTCTTTTGACTGTTGCATGGTCCGGGAAGGCAAACATGACAGCAGCTGAAAAATATTAAAAATGATCACTGAAACTTCTAATTGTCATTGAAAATGGAGTATACTGATGGAAACAGTCTTCTACTGTCTCAGAGGAGAAACAACAGAGACATTGTGTTATAAATAACACTTTGTTTTATTTTTTACTATATCCTCTTTTTGTATATTCCTTCCCTTATTATACTAGGGTTTCATTCATTTTGTGAAGATCCTGTATAAAAACCTTTATCCAATTATTAAAACATAATAATCTATTAATTCTCTCTAATATACTTCTGCGTCAATATGAAAACAATTCTGTTTGATTTTTTTTTACGAGTGCCGTTGTGGTCTCGCATCTTTGTATTATAAAACTAAGTATCTAGCAAAATATACTGAGGGGTTTTTCATACGTCCTTGAAACAAAGCATTTTTCAACAAAATTACATGGCATTTTATAAGCACTGTTATTTTTTGCATCTTCGGTTGAAAACTTTGCATAAATAGATAAATCTATGTCACGTTGAACTCAGAAACTGTCTGAGGGCTAAATGAAAAGTGCAGCAAACAGGTCTTTACCTCACATTTTTCTTAAAACAAGTCATTTTTAATATTTATTATATTCTGAATAATTTCCTATTCTGGTGACAATTCGCTTAGAGGCTAATAACTGTGCAATTTATGCAGCATATTTGAATTTCAATGGCATCACAACTGCCATAGCTACACTAATTTAAGCTTCATGTCTCCATATCCCATTGCGAACATTGACTTTTTGCAAATTCGGTTACTGGTATCATATATACTTTAATAAACAAAATCAAGTCTAATTTCACTTATTAAAAAAAATTCAAATGTCAGCGACATTATCAAGATCAAAGAACAGGTGGTACCTGTAGTCTAGATGTGGTTGGGAATACGTTAATATTTGATCGACAGAAGTATTATAAATTGTTGACATGTCGCCATCTCCTGAGAAGTACCGCCACCGCCTAATGTTTAACAAGTCAACAAACAATTCCAAACTTTCCTTTGAAGAACTATGATTACATGATCTGTATACTGGATAATAAATATCATATTCCTATATGCTGTGAGCGAAACCACTTACAAAGATTATATTTGTAGAGTGTTGATGATGGTGAAATGTAATATGAAGACTGATTCTTCTTTTATTTTTTGCTTTGCAATCCATACTGTTCAGTATTTTCTACGTTTTCACCTTTTGGAACTTATTATATTAAAAGACTCACTCCTATTTGCCATGAAGATTTCGATCGCCACGTTCTGCAGCAGAAACAGGCGGGAGAAGATTGCCCGTATTTCGTTGAAGTGCCATTTCCCATGTGCATGTTCAACATAGGCCAACACCTAGATAAAAAATATTGCTTCATTAAGTCTAGGCAGCAGCGTCACGCATAATTACTATGCTGAGAGTGAAGGATTTTGTAATTTTATTAACATAATTCAGCACATAAATTATTCAAATCGTGACTTAAAAGTGACTTTTATCATATCTTTAACATTTTAAGATAGAATTTATGGCTAAGCACATATATGCATGCATATAAATGGATATCATAAAACTTATGCTAAAGTACAAAGAATACAGTCATTATCAATACTGCATTTCTACCATATAATGTAAAATGACAAAATATCTCATATCACATATCGTAAGCCACTGTGTGAGTTATCTCTAATGAGGTTTATTCTCTCACTGAAGATCAATCAAACAGGGTTACAAAGGTGTTTGTACAAGACATCAAATTCTTTTAAAACATAATCAACATTGACTTAAAACATCAAAATCAACAACATAATTAAATCTGAAAAAGAGACATTTTCATTGGATGCACAGCTATGATGCTAAATAATCAATTACAAAGATTTTCAAGCTTTATTCAAAATCACTATTAATGATTATTTAGAAAGTTAGTGACTTTTAAAAGACAAGTATATCTTTGTATTCAAATCTAAATCATCAATCTCCATACATTACATTGTCAGGGGTTGGAGGCCAAGCCATTCTGAAATAGAATAGAATAAAGACTATTGGAACACACATATCAAGAAAATGCAGATACATTAATTCATTGAGTTAAGATAATATCTTCCATACAATACATTTATGACTTTAATACGTACTTTCTTAATCATGTCAATATTTAAAAATACATTAACCTTCAAATACAATAACTTGATTGACAAAATAAGGAACAGAGACCTAACAGTCTCTAAATTTAGTCATCTTTCTGCTTTCTGTAACACTTCTTCAACAAAAGTGCATAAAATGGAACAAAGTGAAGTTAGCATCCATCACTTTGTAGTTTAAAAATCAAATTACAAGCACTGAAGCACACCATCTGAGCCTCAGTCTCATAATGAGATAAGTTACACATGAGTAAGATTCACTTAGGAATAACAGAGCATTGATTAGGTCCTGGCCCCTAATTGTCCTCAAATGGCATCAGTGATCAAGTCAAGAGAGACCAGCATTGCTTTACTTAATCAAATAATACCTGAATAATGTAATAGCTGCATGATTTGGTTATGGACATCTCTCTGTGAATTAATGGATCTGGTACAGGGCTTAATGGCTCCCCTAATCAGGGCTGAAGTGGCTGCATGCTTTAATCAAATATTTATTTTGATGGTGGGTTGAAGACACTGACAGACTAAAGCTCTTTTTTTTAACCATAGCTGTACTTCCCATCTCTAGCCTTGGCATACTAAAATGGATTAACAAATATCAAATAATATAATGTGTAGAGTTAACAAAAATATAAATTTTGTTTCCCCTTCTGATCCCAATAATCTTTCAATGTCTTAAATTTGTAACAATACAATTTATCACAGAATTCAATTACCAGTTCAACTGTAATTACCATATCAATCACTGCCCTTGTACACTTTGTTAAAAATAAAACATTTTCATGAGAACACCTTTTATATTGGAAGTTATCTGAAATGTCACTTGCACCTGCAATTACCAATAGGCATTTAGTTCACAAGATGAATTTTCACATATTCAAAGGAAGAATGCTTAGTTGTTGTCATTCTAGCATTTCACTTAGTCAAACTTTTCTTCAAAGCCTCACCAAGCAAGTCTTCCCTTGTCAGTTCAAATTCTGATAATATAACACAAAGGCTTGCCTTCATTACATGCACAGAGCAGATAAACAATGGAATGGAATCCCAGAGCTGTGGAAGTTCCAAGAAAATTGCCATGAAAAAGGCACCAAATTTGCACCTTTACAACGAGCAAGAGGAAAATAAATTCTGTAGCTACTGAATTTGCAGACATAAAAATCAATAGCCGGGACTCCAGAGAATCATAATTCTGGGGGAAAATCTAATTATCTCGCTCCAAAAAGCTAACAGCAAATATAAAGTCCCAGAGTCTTAACAAGATTTGACACCTCACTTTGAAAGGCACGAAACACCTCTTTTCTACAGTCACAGAGAAAATGCATCCTGAATATTATCCAAATTTACCAGAGCATTGTTTAAGTGCCCAATCTGATGTAATGTAACATAGTAGTTCTCCAAAGCAAATAATAATGAAATTTGTGAATTTTAACATGCTGCATTCTTAACCTATTCTTTACAGAGAAATTTACAGAGAGAAAGATGAAAGAAATCTTTCTGTCAAGGAATCATTTCTGGAATGAGATAACTTTATCCTTGAACAAAACAAAAGATGTCTTTAAAGGCCTCCTAAGAAATAAGTGCATTTTCTTATTAATAAAAATTCAGTTACAAGAATTTGGTTCATTTTGAACATTATCTTTTAAATGAGGTTTAAGCTGGGTCACATGTTGCATTTTCTTTTTGTTTCATTGATGGCTATTGCATTATCTGTAGACATAAAAGTCTATTCAACTTCACAAATTTCAGACATTTTGTTTTCATTGAGAGTTGTTGTTTCATACCATTGTCCCAAGTACATGTAGTATCACAAATCTGGAATTTTAAGATTGCAGTGAAATACTAGAAAAACTGTCCCAATGGGACTATACTTCCCATGGGGCAACTAAAAAAATGGTGTTCTATCAAACAGCTAAAAAAAAAAAATCTGCCATCTTGCTAAAAATTCCCATGTACTGATCTTGTGGAGATTTAATTGGTTGAAACACCTACTGATACAAAAAATATGACCATCCATTCAACAACTGATCAAGCAATCATGTGAGAAGACAACTTTTTACAGAAATGAACGGTTCAGAATAGAATTGAAAACAAGTTTTAAGCAACATAAGAGCTTAGTAATAAGTTATTCAGAAAGATCCACCAATTTACAAACTTGATTGTGTTATGCATGATATCTTACCAGGTAATTTACCAACTAGAAGTACTTAATATTATATAAAAGAGAGAAGTTTTCAGAAAGTCACTTTTCCTAACAAATATATTTTTAACTAAAATCTCAATCAAAAATACGCTACATATATAATTTTCACATCAAGCTTAATCATCACTGTTTTTAAAGAGATGCACCCATGATAGCTAAGAATTCTCATTTAAATACATGCAAGTACAAATCAAGTACTGTCTTCTTCAATTTCTAAATAGAAAGCAAACTAGAAATAAGTCTGCAGGACATGAAATGCCCTTCCCAGGGTACATTTGTATTGCAACATGAAAAGAAATGAACCTTCCTTCTTAAGTCTGAAATCAATAGCTAACACCCAAATAAAGTTTCATTGTTTGAATTTCATTCTATCATATTTAGCAACTTTATATATGATTTCTAATGTATGGTTATAATGCTCAAACAGACATTTATCAATGTATGGATTTTTCTGAAGTAATTCAGTTGAATGAAGAGCAAATGAAGGGATAAAAGTGAAATTCAAGGTCATATGAAAAGCCAAGGTAAAAAAAAAAACCCTCTCACCAATTTGTATCAATATACATTTATATAAAGTTTGATAGAAATATCCTGAACAAAATAAAGGAATAGACAGAATAGTAAGGTCATTAGAAACATCAAAGTAAGAAAATAATGACACAGTTGAATTTCTCTCACCAATATGCATCAAAGTATATGAAGTTTTATTAAAATTTTCAAAAGTGAAGTTCAAAGGTCAAAGTCTGACAATTTCCAGTTTGTTTCAAAAATCAACATTACAAACGATCAGAGAGCCAAATTGAAATTTGAATGAATCCAAAGTTACTTCTGCATTTTCAATTAGTTTCTTTTTTCAAGTTTGTGTGGGTTTTAGGTCTTACAAAACGTGATTTGGTCCTTTGTGTACACAGAGTACAAAGGACTGAATGTCTTGCAGTGTTTCAACTAATTTTGAAAACCAAGGGTCATTATGACCCATTAATTGTAATGTAAATTTCTGGGAGTCAAAGAGAATTTTTGAGGGTCAAAATATACTCTGGTTTAGCTTTCATTTCTTCTATTAGCTGTGCTTCCTTACATCATAATTTTATGTTTAAAAAATGAATGTTAAATATTATTGTGCTTGTTCCTTTATTTCCAAATTTTACCAAATTCTTTGTCATTTGGGTTTCTTGGAATACACGTCAATCAAATCGCAACATCTGAAAGTTGTTTGAAAGTTTTGCATAATTGTGAGATTCGCTGACCTTTCTATTACCAACATCAGCAATTTTGACAAAGTCAAACTGAAATAAACATGCCGATGTCAGATGTGATATTTTTTATTCGGACTTCTGATTTTCTTAAGAATTGGATAGATCGTTCGAAAATTTAAATAGATTGTTGACATTGAAATGTAATTCCAATCACTGCCACTTGAAAATTAAAGCCACAATTTATTCCTAGAAACTTCGAATGTAAGTTAATAAACCGGTTCCATCGACGCAGGCAACAACATTGAACTCTATTTTTGAAAATTTGTTTAAATTTGTACTTTTATTACATCATGATGACCCTTTGGGTGATGTTTTAGGGGGTGAAAAGTATTTTTTATGCATACATTACTAGGGTTGAGACGATATATTAAGATATCAATAATTTCGATTCTGTGTGTGGATGATACGCATACAATCTAACTGAAATTAGATGTTCCAAATCCGCTACCACTTCTCAAACATCTAACAACATCCCATTCGGGGTCACGTCAGAGCAACCTTTCGATTATGAATAAACATGAAAATTTTGGCCAATCAGATTCAAGATTTCGTATATGATTCTAAAATTCGTTCTACAGCTATATCTTAATATTATTGATGCTCAGTAGTCCGTCTTATGTTGAATTAAAGTAATTTTGGTATAAATTGAATGTACAGTCCACCAATCTTGCATTCTTACCTGAATAACACAAACGAAGATGCACAAACTATACAAGATATCCTGCACGTCACATTCCTTTGCCATGCATATTTTGTTTACT